CTTTGTTATTTTTGACCGAAGATTGCAGACGAGAGAAACCACAGGGTTCTACCACCATGGATGGTGCTGATAACTCTGCTGGAGGCTTCAGCCTCCAGGAGGCTCAGGCCTGCCTCCTTTTCAGTTCATGGGAAATGAAGGGTCCTCCATAAACTGTTGGGCTTTCTTGGGCATGGAAATCCCCAAAAGATCCCACTAATGGATCTAGTGACTGTTCTGATATATTGATGGAGTCCACCACACTATAGTCAGGTCATGAAGGCCTGGGAGCCATTCTATCTATCTACAGTGGCGGTATACTTACCTTGTTAACGGAGCACCTTTATCAGTCTTAAAAAAATTTGAGCACCTCCCCCCCAAATTTACTTGCTTACAAGTTATCTAACCCAAATATTTTACACAGTACTATATACAAATTATAGAGTATGAATATACTATAAACATTGTATATACACTAAATTTTCTAAGGTGATGTCTTCATTCGTCCTGGTTGCTATAGGAGAATACCATAAACTGGGTGGCTTATAAACAACAGATGTTTATATCTCACAGTATTGGAGGCTGGGAAGTCAAAGATGAAGGTGCCAAAAGATTTGGTGTCTGGTGAGAGCCCCCTTCCTCATAGATGGCCATCTTCTCACTGTAACCTTACATGGCAGAAGGGGCAAGGGATTTGTCTGGGGCCCCTTTTATAAGGATACTACTCCCATTCACAAGGGCTCCACCCTCATAACTTAATACAACCCAAAAGCCCCACCTCCTAATACCATCACCTAGGGGGTTAGGTTTCAACATATGAATTTTAGCGGGACACAAACATTCAGCGTTAGCAGGTAATATAAGAAAAATCAGAAAGGTCTGTTATTTTCTTCTTGTACCTCAGTAGATTCCTCAAGCACCACTCTGAAGCAATGGTTCTCAAACTTCACGTGACCAAGAATAACTTGGAGAAGGTGTTTAGCATGAAGGTTCTCCAGGCCTCAGCCCTAGAAGTTTTGATTCAATCGTTCTTGGGATGGGCCCCTTACTCATCCTTTTCCTGAGCTCTTGGGCTGACTCTGACTCCAAGGCTCAATCAGATTTTGGAAACACTGGTCCAGACCCTTCTGTTTTCCTACCCTTTTCATTTCTGATAAAATTTCTAAAATTTTATCACCGTGGTCCTGCTGATATCTACCTCCTGGACACCATCTTGATCCCCTAGGTGAATTAAAAACAATAAAAATAATAATAGCTGCCATTTATTACTTCCCACTTGCCAGGATGGCTAAGGGCTTTACTTCTCTCTCTTTTTTGTGTGTGTGAGGATGATCGGCCTTGAGCTAACATCTGCGAATGCTCCTCTTTTTTTTGCTGAAGAAGACTGGCCCTGGGCTAACATCCATGCCCATCTTCCTGCACTTTATATGGGACGCCACCACAGCATGGCTTGACAAGCGGTGTGACGGTGCCCGCCCAGGATCCGAACTGGGGAATTCCTGGCCGCGGCTGCAGAGCACACACAATTAACGCTTGCACCACCGGGCCTGCCCCAGGGCTTTACTTCTCTACGTTACCTCCTTTAACCCGCTCAGGTAGGCATCATTAGTCCCACTACACAGATGAAGAAAACTAAAGCTCAGAACACTAATGTCTTGCCCAAGGGCACCCAGCTAGTAGGTGATAGGTCAGGAATTTGAACTTTGGAATCTGTCTGATTACAAAGCCTGGACTCTTGACCAGTAAGCATAATGCCACCAAAATAAGTCACTATAATTTATTGAACCTCTTCTACGGACCAGGCACTTGGCTGGGCACTTCACGTACAAATCTCTAATACTCATGACATACCTGTGTCTGTAGAGGTGTAAATCTCAGTTCACAAATTCTGATTTGCAAGAAATGTCTTTATTTTTTGTAACCCATCTGAATTACTTACTGACTCCAAACTCCTATTTTCCAGGCCCTCTTGGATTCCTTCTTCCCACCCCCACCCCCAATTATGCCATAGTTCTGGATCAGACACAATACCCAGGCCTGAAGTTGGGGGTGAGCACCTGGTCCTCGTCATCAGTCCACGTAGGTGGACATTGAGGGGCTGGTCCTCCCCATCTCCATGACCTGTTGGCACCAGAGGTTCAATGCTGCTTCCACCCCCCACCAAGCATCTTCTGCCCACCTGCTGACACACACACAGCCATTTCCTCTCTAGGTTCCTACCACCTTCTAGCAGAGTTTCTGGGAGACAAGAGACTGTCCCCTCTGCCCTCAGACCCATAGAGAAATCTCCCCCTCCCCCACCCACCGGCAAAGCCCAAAGTGGTTCTCCTTCTGGTGATGGAAAGGTACGGGTGCTCTTTCTCCCTTCACATCCCTTTAAAACAATTTTTGCTTGTCTTTGTTGGTTAAAATTCACTTGCCCTAGGTCCTAAGTTTTTGAAAGACAAAAGATTTGTAGATTTCTCTCTATTTTGCCCTTCTTAAGTAAGTGGGAAGGAGAGCAAGGGGGAGATGTTGGGAGAAAAATATTAAGTTGATACCTCAAATATTATCTCCAGCCATGTTAGCCCATTTTATAGGGGAGGAGATGGAATTCATTAAGGTTAAGTAACAGTTTTGCACAGGTAGTAGATTATAGACCCAGGATCCCCTGGCTCTGGAAACCTCATTCTCTACGAAGTCCTCCCCTCTTCTCTCCCAGGATCTTCCCTGGTCAGCTCCGAGGAAGCACAAGAGAGCTTGTGCATTAAAACCAGCACAGGAAGGCGATCGGACAGGCAGGCAGAGGTTGGGTAGAGGTGGAAGCAGACACTCCTCCTCACAAAAGGCAACAGACATTACTCCTCTTTATCCCATCCCAAGGGAGCCTCACAAAACTTGAGTTGGCATGAGATGGTGGTAGAGGAATTTTAGGGGAGGCAAGTAAAGACAAGAGCTAGAACAACTTTGAAGGCCTCTTCCTATGTAGAAAGCGGTAAGAAAGTGTACTCTGCAGAAATTGGGGGGTTTGGGGAGAGTAGTATTCCAGAGGCATTCAGATTCACTGTTGAGTGAATCTGCAGAGCAAGGTGGGGGATGGAGGTTGTTCCTGGCAGTACCCAGAGAAGAAGAGATGAGGTGGACCGAGGAAAAGGAACCCAAGGTGGATAGTCAGGCTGGTTTTAGGTTTCAAAATCTGGAACCTTCAGATTCTGCTTAATCACGCAGGATAGGAAAGAGCCAGCCAGGGAGCCAGGGCAGAAGCCTCTGTTCAGAAATCGTGCATCTGACTGGGTGGTCCCCAAGCTGTAGCCCTCTAGAAGGAGGTATAGCCATAGGACAGCACAGTTTTAGGATTTGGCTTAGGGTCATGACTGTCCAAACCTTCTGGTGGCTTCAGAAGGTCCTTTCACTCAGTTTCATCCAGGCAATGATCACCAAGTTACCTAACTGCCTACTCAACATTTCCACGTGGATGTCTCAGAGGCATCTCACACTCCACATAGCCAAAACTGAATATTTAATCTTCCCCCATTAAGTCTGCTCCGCTCACAGCCTTCCCCATCTCAACTGACATCAACTCCATTGTCCCACTTGCTCAAGCCAAAATCCTTGAAGTCATCCTCAACTCATCTCTTTCTCTCACATCCCACATCCCATTAGTCAGGAAATCCTGTTGTACCTACCTTTGAAATATATCCAGCACCCACCCACCTCTCCCCAATTCCACTGCTACCATGCTGAACTAAGCCACCATCGTCTCTCTCTGGATCACTGAGATAGCCCCCTAGAGGATCTCCCCACTTGCACCCTTGCTCGTTATAATCTGTTCCTAGCCTTGCAAACCAGCAGGATCTTTTAAAAATATAGTACAAATCATGTCACTCTTCTTCTCAGAAGATCCCCCATGTCTCATAGCATAAGAGCCAAAGTTCTTATAATGATGTCTTCCTAATCATTGGCCTCCTTGCTGAACATACCGGCCATGCTCCTATCTCAGGGCCTTTGCACCGACTACTCTGGCTACCTGAAGCTCTCCTCCCCAAGATGTCCACAGGGGCAACTCACTGAAATCTTTGCTCAAAGTTCAACTTCCCAACAAGGTTCATCCTGACCACTCTATTTAAAATCACTACCTGCTCCCACGCCCTTAACTCTGCTATACTTTTCCTTTTTCCACAGTTCTCATTGCATTCTACCAATCTACATGAATCTCTTATTTATTGTGTCTATTACCTATTATCTGACTCCTCCCACCTCCAATGGTACATCCACTTCTCAAAGACTGGAATCTTGGTCTGTTTTGTTCACTTGTACATCCCAAGTGCCTAGAACAGTGCCTGGCATCTAGTAGGTACGCAAAAATAAAAAAATAAAAAAAAGTTGAACAAATGAATAAAGTTTAAATAAAATTAGGGAGCCAACAAATATTACAAGAGCCATACACAGTAGCATTTCCCCTGCCTGATTTGGCTGAGTGGCCTTACTTCCCAGTCCTCTAAACAGTTGGAGCATTAATTAACACAGAGTTGGAAAGAGTGTGTTTACTCTAGGGTTGTCTCTCATGGAGGCCCCAGCAAAGGCTTCCAGTTCTGCATCTTGGCTCCTCCATCAGCTCCTTCTTCTACTGAGGTTAGAGGTTTTCCGGCCCTTTCAACTGTAGAAACGTTGCCCACCACACTTAGACCACAGGCACCAGCAATCTTGCTGAACTCAACAGAAAATGGACCCTCTGGGGGCTCTCTGCCGAGCAGAGCACTTCTCTTTCTCTCTGGGCTTAGCCTGCAATTTGAAATACCACAGCCACGAGCCTGCACGCTATTTGCAGTGCTGTCAGAGGGAGCAACACTGTGGGAGAGACCTACCCCCGACCTTTGACAGAATTTCCAAACACAACACGTTAACTTTAAATTGATTAATTTGGAACTGTGACCTTGGTCCAAGAAGGTAAGAATACATGACGAGATGTTTTATTTTCAAAATGGAGCAGGATAAAAAACATTTTCATAAATTAACCTTTTTTGTATTACATATCATTAGATTTGGGATTGGAGGTAGCAAGGAAAGTGTCTGAACACCAGATAACATGTTTAAAGGTTAATTATTAATGGGCAGACTTCCCTAACGAAGTATCAATAGGCAATCTGGTCTCTTTAGCTTCAGATATTAGTGAGAAGACCTCGGACCCCGGGTGAGACAGAAGAAATGGAAAGTCCCCTGTATGTCTCTGTTTTCTTGGTTTTGTGCATCTTTATTCTATCAAGTGCCCATGGACAAAGCCCGGGACCAGGTAAGAGCCTGCCTTTTCTCTGGAGATGGGCATGGATTTTCTTTTTTAAATGTATGTCACAAAGAATCCAAGTGTTCTTGACTGTGTGGGACAGAGCTTACTTCACAGCATACCAGGTTCTGTTGGTGGCCTCACAGGTCACAGGGACATGCAGCCATTTGTAAGCAGGACTGAAAGTTTAGGAAACCACTCTGGGAGTAGAAGTCTTCTAAAAGTGTTTGCAGCTAGCATTGAAGTCTCTTGCATATCTGATTCAGAAATAGTCATGCTAAGACTTCTTTGGTGGAGACTAATCTGAAAGAGTTTCAGATCTTTCTGAGAGTTACTTTGGCATCTAATTTGCAACTGAGGAGCACTGCTTCCAATGAAATGCTCCGTCTTGCTGAGGTTGTCTAATTGCTGTCTTTCTCAGAAGAGAAAGGAATTTGTAGAGTCCTGTTTACAGTCAAGGCTAAAGCAGAGATACCACTGCACATTTTCTAGACTTCGTTTTTTCTGCTAAAGTTTTACTCTGAGATGAGGAATCCAAGAGCAGTCATGCCTGTTTGGTCTGTAAATTCATAAACTCTGTTGACGTCCAAAGAGATCCAAATGCTTGATCAAGCAGGTGGATTCCAGGTTCCTGGCTAAACAGTGCATTGGATCAATAAATGACAGATATGAAGTGAACTGAACTGAACAATTTGGCCAAGTGAGACTGGCATTTGGGACTTTTTGTTCTTGTGCTGGTTACTGCTCAGGAGCTAGTAATTCCAAGGTAGAGGCTTAGATTTTTCTTTCCTCAAAGACTATGCTTGGGGGGACCTCCAAAAACTTTGAGAATCAGGAATTTACTAACCAGAGATGTACCCAAAAATTCCAGAACCTTTTTTCTCCTTTAAGAAAAAGGGCCTGTTTTTTGTATTTATTATTTTGTATCCTCTGTCAGTTATTAACTTATTAGTAGTATTAATTATGACTATCCGCTGAGCATTTTGTGTGCCAACCACTATGCTAATTATTTTGCATACTTCATCTCATTTATAAAGCCATGTCCAAAAATGATGATAATAATTTAGAGCCATACAGGAAAAATTGCCGATGACTTTTATTCCCTGGGTTCACAGGGATTTTGCTGAAGGGCCTGTCCTGCCCTTTGAACCAAAATGTTGTTTTTGTTTGTTTATTTTCCGTTGACGTATAACACATATCTAGAAAAGTACCTATATCATAAGTGTTCAGTGAATTTTCACCAACTGAGCCGGCATCCCAGAAGCCTCCCTTGTGCACCTCTGGAGCCTTAATACAGATTATTTTGCCTTTTTTTGGAACTTTTCATTAATGGAAGCATACAGTAGGTGCTCTTTTGTGTCTGGCTTCTTTCGCTTGACATCATATTGGTGAGATTTATCCACGTGGCTGCGTGTGGTGGCAACTCGTTCATTCTGGTCACTGTAGCATTCCATGGTGTGAAGAGACCACCCTTCACTTATCCATTGTACCGTCGGTTGGCCCAGGGTGTTTGTCAGTGGAGACATGGGGTTGGAAGCCGTCAGCGCCGACGTGGAGGTCGAAGGTTAGGATGGCCTCCCCGGGCCGCTGGGCACTGTCCAGCTTTCACTCAGCAAATCTCGTGCTGGTCAGCTGCTGCTTTCCCAGGGTCCTGGTTTGTCCAAAAGCTGAGAGACGGGGCTGTGATTAGCAGGATGGTTCCTCAGGGAAAAGAATCGGAATCAGGAGGCCTCTCGTGCCCTTGAGAGCAGAATCTCTCTGCAGAACTCCGTCTGTGTGCAGGGGGTGGTGCAACGTCTTCCCGGGGCACTGCGGGGAAGCAAACAGCCCACGGCGGAGCCCTTGTCAGATGCGATTCTATACCAGTGGTTCTCAACCGGGGGCAAAACTGCCCCCCAGGGGACATTTGGCAAAGTCCGGAGACATTTTTGGTTATCACAACTGGGGAGAGAGTGCTATTGGCATGTAGTAGTTAGAGGCCAGGGCTGCTGCTAAATATCCTACAACGCACAGGACAGCCCCTGATAACGACGGATAATCTGGAAATGTTGATAGTGCCAAGGTTGAGAACACTTAGTCTACACCAAGCTTCAACTGTCACTAATCAGGGACCAGGAAGAACTCCCGAGAGGATCCTTCCTCCCTAACCCCACCCCTTCCAGCCTACTTCTTTTTATTATTACTAATGACTTTTGCTAATGGGCCCGCTCATGTACCGTGTACCCAGTATGTGCCAGACACTGCACAAACATTTCATCCTACTCTCACCATGTGGTTGAGTAAGCCAGCAGTTAGGCGACTTGCTGGCGGTCCCCTGGCTGTCCAGGGCAGAGCAGGGAGAGGCACGGAGAGCTCAATCTGTCTGACTGAGGCTACAGGCCTCTCTCTCCATTGTGCTCACACCCGTGACTTGAAAGTCTGAGGTCCCAAGAAGGCCATTCTGCTCGGTTCCTCTCACACGGAGGCAGATTCGGGCAGTTGTTCCCACCCTTCAGCACCAGGGGGATCAGGAGATGGTGAGCCTCCTGAGGCCCCTAGGACACAGAGCTGCCTTCACTTGTATCCCCAGACCTCACTACCTGAGGCCCAGGCCCACCCCACGGCGTTGTCTGGAGAGCCAACACTGCTTCAGACGGAAGCTGCTGCTCTGAGACCCCGGCAGCCCTTATCTTCCAAGTATCGAACACCACCGCCTATGGGTGCCTACCCCCCTCCCTCCAACCCCAGTCACAGCTTCCAGGTCCTAGAAGCAGTTGAAACCCATCCATTGAGTCCCTCATTCGTTTAAGTGTGCCCACGCGCTACCATATACAAGACAGGGCATTAGTGGAGGGGTTCTCAAACTTTCTGGTCTCAGGACGCCACTACACTCTTAAAACTCATTTAGAACGCCAAAGAGCTTTTTTTATATGGAATAGAGCTCTCAACATTTACCATATTAGAGATGAAAACTGAGAATTTTTTAAAATTTTAATGTTTTTGAAAATAACAACAAATCTATCACATGTCAACATGTGTAACATAATATTATGAAAAATAACTTGTATTTTCCAAATAAAAACAATAAAAAGTGAGACTGAAGAGTGACAGTTTACAAAGAAATTTTGCAAATTTCTTTAATATCTGGCTTAAAAGAAGATGGCTGGATTCTTTTATTGGTTTCCATCTTTAATCTGTTGTGATATGTTGCTTGGTTTGAAGTACATGAAGAAAGTCGGCCTTACACATAGGAAAAGGGAGGACATCCTTGAAGATCCCGCTGGGGCCTCAGTTCACACTCAGAACTGCTGCACTCATGCAGTAGACACGGTACATCAGTGGACTGCACAGCTGGTCCCTGCCCTCCAGGCACTTGATGTCAAATCAGGGGTGGACCAGGGGTGGAGAGAGGGGAGCTGTCTGCCCTGGAAGCCTGCAATAAGGGGGCTGTCGTCCATAGAGCATATAAATACAATAGTAGAACCTAATAAAAGTTGGTCTTCCTAGGGGCCGGCCCCGTGGCTTAGCAGTTAAGTGTGTGTCCTCTGCTGCTGGCGGCCCGGGTTCAGATCCCGGGCGCGCACCGATGCACCGCTTCTCCGGCCATGCTGAGGCCGCGTCCCACATGCAGCAGCTGGAAGGATGTGCAACTATGACATACAACTATCTACTGGGGCTTTGGGGGAATAAATAAATAAATAAAATTATAAAATACAAAATATTTAAAAAAAAAGTTGGTCTTCCTTTCATTACCACAATTCTAAATAACATCAGGGATAAAAATAAAGCTCATCCCACCTGAAACAGATTTTTAGTCAAAGTTGTAAATAACTGCTACAGTTACTGTTGGGTTTTATTAATACATATGTAAACTTTAAAAGATCACTTTTTTGTTACTTACCCTTTAACAAATGTTCTCCGTCGACGTTAATTTAGAGAACTTCCAGTTGTGCGGTTGGCCCCAACACTCATGGACTCAGTGACACATGTTCATTACAAGAGGAAGTGTCTAATGGTTCAGAATCCTCCCCAATCACTGTGGTCTCTCATGTCTCCAAGTCCTATGGTACTTACTGCATGTTCCTGTATTTAAACAGCAGATTTGAAATAAAAAATGATACCATAGTGATTGTAAAGACAAAGAAACAACCTGAGAACTTCAATTCTGTTATTCTATGTGATCACATAGAGGTTTTGTGTTTAAAATTTAGAACAGTGAAATAGGTTTTACAGTGAGCTCTGAGGCGTAATATTTTGTTTGATAAGTAAAAATTTTGGTTCTTACAAGAAATACCTTTAATGTGTTTGAGTATCTTTAGAGTTGAAATGTATTCTTCTTTTTTAAATCATTCATTGCTTTAAAACTAAAGAAATCAAGAAAATAATTGATTATTGCCGATTTTTGCATGACTATTACTGAAAATAATTTTGTCTTACAGAGCAGAGGGGTATTAAATTGATCTGTTCTGGGTTTCAAATACATGAAGTATACCATTGAGTCTACTAAAGGAAATAAGATGTGTATATAAAATTTTTTCAACTAGAACATAGATGAGTACCACTAGAGAGGAGTGCAATGGACTAAGTGTTCGTGTTCCCCTAACCTCATATCTTGAAATCCTAACCCCCAATATGGTGGGGAGGTAATTCAGTCATGAAGAAGGAGCTGTCATGAATGGGATTAGTGCCCTTATAAAAGGGACCCCAGAGAACCCACTCTCTCTCCACCATGTAAGGAAACCTGGAAGAGGGCTCTCACCAGAACCCAACCGTACTGGCAACCTGATCTCAGACTTCCAGCCTCCAGAGCTGTGAGAAATAAATTTCTGCTGGTTACAAGCTACCCAGTCTATGGTAATTTGTTACAGCAGCCCGAATAGACTAAGACAAGGAGCAGGAAGTGATGCAGACGAGTTTACTTCCAAGTGTGGCGTACAGGGAAGGCTTCTGGGACGAGGCAGCATATGGGCAGGGTCTTGCCAGATGGAATCAGGACAAAAGAGAAGGAGGCTTTCCTTATGCATAAGCAA